ACTTTACTTTTAGAGTTTTGATAAATAACATAAAGATTTGTGTTTCTATATAAATATTTCAATAACTATTAGTTTAAATTTAATAATATTTTGCTATCTTATAGAAAAATTCTTTCTCTATTTACTATATAAATTTGATACAATTTTAATTAGTAAATTAATTAAAAAATTAATAAAAACAAAATGTTTATAACCTAAATTTTAAACCTAATTTTCTTAATGATTATTAGTCTAAATTAAATATTTTTTTTATTTAATAGATATATACTTGCTTTATAAAATAAAAAAAAAATTTAAAATTTAATTACTAATTGCAGAGATAATTTAAATAATCTATTATAATATATCAAATTTTATTAGTCATTGTATATCTTAATTATCTCAGCAACTAACAGCAGATTCATTATAATTTTTTTTTTATTTTGTAGATGAGATAAAGTGCTTTCAAATAAAAAAAAATTAATTGATTTGAATCACTAGAAGCAGAGATAATTAAGGTAGAAGTTCACTGATTAATTTATAACAATTTTGGCAGCGATTGTTATGATAATTATGTGACATAATTATAAAAGAATGCTTATGTATTTCTAACCTTATAGTTTTTTTAGTAGACATCATTTATTATTATTTTTTTTTTATTTACTATTCTAGACTATAGAAAATAGAATTTCAAATTTCTACCTACTTTAATATAATACATTCATTTAATTAATGTATTCCTGGGTATTAGTTTGAGAGCATAACATATAGGATAACTTCTAATTAGTCAATTACTTACAATTGTATTTATACAGTTAAAGTACCTTTTAAAAATTAACCTGTCTCTATCTTTGAAAAAGTGCCAATAGTTACTATGCAAAATAATTCCAAATAATTCCACACCTAGAGGTACTTTACTTAGAAGAAATATATTGTAACTATAGAACTATATGTGATTACTAAAATGCTAAATGTAGCTGGGTTATTGAAAAAAACTAAAAGTATAAATCTTTTTTTTTAGAAATAGATAAAGCAGTATTAAGCTATGTTGAAGAGGTTTAACCTGTAAAAAAATGTTAATATATAAGAATAGAGTTAGTAACAAGCATTTAAAACTTTATATATATATAATTCTTAGTAATATGATAGACTTAGATTTATCTAATTTTGTAGTGCAACCTCTAGCACTTGATAGTGTTGTTAGTTCTGAGGTTGTCGAAGACAATATTAAAGAGAACTACGGCAATATAGAATTTGATGTTGATACTTTGGTAGATAGCTTTGATATTTGAGCATTTATTCAATTTATTCATAATTATATGAACAAATATAGTTGCTATAAAATAGGTTTCAATTTGTTAAAAGTACTAGCTAACAATTACAGGATTCATAATATTTGAATTATAGCTTTTAATTTAAATTATGGTATTTATGTAAGTTTTTGTTTTAGCTTTAAGTTGTAACAGTTGTGGCTCAATATTTCTACTAAAAATTGACAATAAAATATTTTCAGCAAGCCACAATTAGTATTATATATAATTTCTATATATTTAATTCAGCTTTTAATTTAGGTTATAGCATTGATTATGGGTTTAGGTTTTGGTTTTATGTTATGGCATGAATTACCAAAAAATCGATGTCGAAATATTTTGGCAAAGCCATAGCAAGTTTCTACAACATGTATATAACAACTGATTTTCCTAATCTTTACCTTAATTCTCAGTGATTTTGTTTTCATAACAGATATAATGATTGTGTGATCCTTTTTTTTCTTTGATTTTGATGTTGATGCAACTTCTTTCTTTTCTTTAACTAATGCTTATTAACTAGGATATTCATGTAGCTCTCATTTTAGAAATTGATTTAATTATTGATAATAGGCAGCAGCAGCATATATCAGTGTGATCGATGCACAAGCTGAGACTAGCTATGCTCACTTTTGCAATTGCAGTTTATCTAATCGCATATGGGCCCTATCCTAGATATTTAATAGAGTTTTATTAGTAACTATCATTACTTCCAAACAAGGCAATTAATTTAATGATACTTATCATTATGTATTTATTATTTGGCCTTTAAATAGCAAAAGGTTACATAAAATTTATATATGTTTAAATTTACTGTACGATTATGTGAAAATTTAATTTACAAAAACTTATATATGCTGTATAAAATCAGTAATTTATAACTATTTGCTAGTAGAGATATGAGTACAATGCCATAATTTGTCATAATTATAATGAATTACAGCAAAAAATACTGTAATTCATTATAATTATGACAAATTACAGCATTGCGCTCATACCTCTATTTGGCAGATATTTTTTTTTGATCAAGTTAAGAAACCTGTAAATAAAAATATATTTTGTTAAAGCATTTTTATATTTAACAAGTTGCAAATTATGACGCTTTCAGATCAAAAACATGAAAAAATTATATCTGCTCAAAAATTAGGCAAGTCTTATAGACAAATTGCCAATCTTGTTGGTTGTGATCCAAAGACTGTAGAAAATGTATTAAAACGATATTACAACTTGCCTCAAACTTTGTTGGATCATCGAGGAAGACCACTATCCTGTAAAAAAAGTTAACTTTATTTTTCCATTATTTTTCTATGTTTGAATTTTGGATTTTCTCAATTAAATTATTTCAGTACTTTTTTTATAAATGTAGCATATTTATAGAACATTTATGGAATTATATTATTCAAGTAATGGAAATTATATGAAAGTTTAACTGAAAATCATATAATAATAAAATGGAAATTGTATGAAGACTACACTGAAATCTTCTCTTATAGTAGTACAAAAAATGCATTGCATACACAGATATAAACTGGATCTTCTATTATAATAGTACAAAAATTGCATTGCATATATGGATATAAGATGGATCTTCTACTATAGTAATACAAAAAATGCATTGCATACACAGAATCTTTATTATAATATATAGTACAAAAAATGCATTACATACACAGATATAGGCTGGAACTTTTATTAGCTTTATATTGACACTTCTACTATAATAGTACAAAATATACATTGCATATATGGATATAAGCTAGAGCTTTTATTAACTTTATATTGATATAACAATAATAAATGCACATGCAATACTTCCTAATGAAGTAACTCTAATTTTATAGAATTCTTACAGAATACATTTCTACTACTGCTTTCAATTTTTATCAGTCTTTGTTTTTTTACTAACTCTTGCCATCATTTCTTTTGTTTTCTGTTTTCCTTTTCTTTTTTTGTCTATATAAAAATATATATAATAAAATAGAAGACATGAAGATACAAAAAGATACAACTAATACATGATTTTCAGTAATCTCACCTGTATTATTTGAAGTGCCAGAATCTTGTGCATTATTCTTAATTGCATTATCTTGTTCAGAAGTAGTCTTAATACCATTATGTTTTTGAACAGAAGACTGAGGATTTTTTTTTAGTGGCGATGTAGCAGGTGTTAAACTGTTCGGATTAATACTTTGCTTTCTAGAAGAATGAGAAGATCGAAAATTTTTTAATGGTGATAACATATTAGCTGCAGGCACCATTTGGTTAGAATCTTGTATATTATCATTATTATTGTCTTTATTATTTGTAACATCTTGCATAGGAGATCGAACATTTTTTCTTTCTGCATTAATTATAGAGAATGATATGTTATATTTAATGGATATTCATTTTTGAACAGAAAACTAAATAACTTTTTTTGATAGTGGCAATGTATTAACTGCAGGTGTTAAAGTATCAGAATCATATACTGTCTCATCAATATTATTCTGACCAGTACTTTCGAAATTGTAATCCTTGTTTGGTGTATAATTATCAGAATCTTGTGCATAGTCAGTCATCTCATCTGTCATCTTGATCGCTGTCACTTTCTATATTGATATAGTTTGTTAGTTTTTGAACTGAAGATCGAGTATTTATTTTTTGCAGTAGTAATGTAAGCCCTTTTGCTCGATTAACTTTGTTTGGTGCAGGAGTAAAAATGTTAAAATCTTGCATATGGTTAGACATCTTATCTGCATTATTTTGATCTGAAATACTTTCTGCATTAACCTGGCTTGTATTACATCTTCGAACAGGAGGTCGAACATTCTTTTTTGGCAGTAGCAACACATGTCCTTTAGCTCATGCATCAGCATTTTTCTTTTTTTTTGCTTGATCAACTATTATTGGTATAGAAAATGTTTGACTATAATGACAAAAGGTATGATAATAAAAATGACTTACCCATGCTATTACAATATAAAGCAAGCCAATCACGAAGAATAAAATCAGCTTCAGAAACTGGAAATGTTGGATTGACTTCATTAAACTATAAAACAATAATAAATAATAGTTTTTTGGTCATTTAAAAAGATTAATAAAGGAGTAATTATTTTTGAATCCAGACCAACACTGTTATTATGTTATATATATAAAATTAGTCTGGTTCAAAAATAACTAATCAAATTTAAACCATTTACTTCTTTAATATCTTCGTTGGCTTTTCCCTTCAGTTGCCAGGATAGAGGTTCTCCACGTAAAAATTGGGATGCTGCACGATTTCATAGATCATTCTACAATAGGTCAATACAGTATAATTATGTATGTAAAAAACTGCAAAATGCATAATAAAAAAACATTTAAGGCGCCCTTTTAAGAGGGTACGGTGAAGCTTATCCTAAAATTTAAATATTGTTTTTTGTCTAGCTTTAAGAATTCATACCATTGAAATTTTTTTTTAATTTTTTTCTGAGCATTTTTATAATCCTCATATTTTTTAAGCTTAATTGGGTTCATAGTAGTTCCTTTTGGAAACTGAAAGTATATTAACCAAATAAACTTCAATACATATTTATAAAATTGGAAAAAACCTGCTTAAAAAAAACCTACTTGTCCATTAATAATTCCACGAATAGCACTACGGGAGTCTAGAAGCAGTTCTGCAAGTGTGGGGTCGATAGCTACTAATATAGCATATAATCATCGGCGTTGCTCAAAATTCAACACATTGAGTAAAGTTAGGTCCGCATCAATTAATGCAAGAAAAAATTAACGACGTTGCTTAGAATTGAGCTTGTGGATATTAACTGAAAGATTGTTATGTTTTTCCATAGTGATAGTATTTTTTAAATAATCGTATGTCTCAATTCGCTAAGCAATTCCAACAAAAAAAACTGTATTTATAGTAATGCTGATTTATTTAATCATCAAAAAATCAGTAGTAAAAATGGGGCATCATGCACTTATCAATGTAATGTGCTTAAGCAGCACATATTTTAACTTAGATATTTATTAATATCTGTTATGATTTTCATTTCATTAATTATGTAACAATTAGGCATCTCGCACTGATAAATACATGATGCCTACCTTTAATCAGTAGTAATAAATATATTTTTTATATAAAAAAAAAAAATTGATCTTTAAAATAGTTAATGACATTCTTTGTACCTGCGTCTGGTGCCTGCATATATCAAATGGCCAGGGTAAACTAGTTAGCAAAGCAACTCATGCAAGGCATTTAACAAAGCAAAAAAATATCTGGCCTGATCTAGCAGATATACCCATGATACAACGACACCTGGCTACTTCTATTCAAACTTTCTCGCCAGTTACTAGTATAGCGACGATGTTATCTATGCCTTCACCAGGTGTTTTAACACCATTTCGAACAAATCAAAATGATTATGATCATATTAGTAATGAACCTGCTAGTGTATATGTTCTTAATCCAGATAGTTCAGATAAACAAAATAGTATAACATCTGAAGAATTGTCTAATGAAAATGACGACCTATTTGAATCGTTGGAAGTTCAAGAACTATTTAAATCATTGGAAGGTCAGGAGGAGCTATTTGAATCATTGGAAGTTCAGAAGTCAAATGAAGATGAAGATAATATCAAGTTTGATAGGCTTATAAGGCCATATAAAGTTAATTAATTGTTTCTTATAACCCAGCTGGTTCAGCTTTTTTAAATTTTCAGTACATGGTACTCAGGTGCAAAATGCTTATAAAATTTTTTATAATTAAAGATTAAAGTTGGGCAGTGGGTTACTTTTAGAATTCTTTATTATGAGAAACAATTATTTAACTTTGTATGGCCTAATCAAAATATAAATTTATAACTATTAAAATTTTATTCTAATTAATTTAATTTTGCAGATATTTCAGAAAACTTAATTAAGGGTTTAAAACTTTATCAAATTAAAGACAAACATAATATTTCTGAGGCTGCATTTAACGAAATTCTTGAAGTCTTGGAAATCTCTCAAATTACTCTTTACAAACTTGAAAAATGTCTTGAAAATCTTGTACTATTAAAACCAACATTTGTAGACTGTTGTATTAATTCATGTACAGCATTTATGGGTAATCTCATTAATAAAAATATATGTCCAAGATGTAAAGAACCTCGTTACAAATTTGATATGACATCCAAAGTGTCTCGAAAGAGAGTTGCATATTGGTCACTTATTGATTCACTTAAAATGCAGTATAGAGATAAAACTCATGCAGAAATTCTGTGCTATCGATATAATTATACATCAACACCTGATTATACTCTTGGCAACCAAATTGGTGATGTGTTTGATAGCTTTTGATATAAATTTTTAGTTTTTTCAGAATTTTTTTCAGATAGTCGAGATGTTGCTTTAATGGTATCCACTAATGGGTACCAAATTTTTTGTCAAAAGTGAGACGATTGCTGGATTATACTGGTTATAAATGCAAATTTACCACCAAATATACATGTTCGAAGAGAAAATTTAATAATTTCTATACTCATTCCGAGACCAAAGGCACCAAAAAACTTTAATTCCTTTTTACAACCATTGGTTAACGAGTTAAAACAGTTGCAAGGTATTATTAATATCAATATTAATACAGTCATGCCTGGGTTATATTTGCACTAAGCTATACTCAACCTTAGTTATATCCTCATATTTGAGCGTAATAAATTTCCTTTTTTTAAATGTTTTATATGTTGAGTTATATCCTATCTTGGTTATATTTACAAGAAAGTAAAAAAAAAAAGTGTGATATAATCCAGATACAACTGTATCTATTTCTTTTTAGAATAGATTGTTTATTAATTTACACTAATAAATATAGATGGTGTCCAATATGTTGATGGCGCAATGGAGGATATTTTTACCCTTTGTGCGCATATCCTAAGCTTATCTGGTGACCTTCCAGCACTTGCTAAGATCATGTGTATAACTTGACATAACTCATATAAGACATGTCGCTTTTGCTCTATTCAAGAAATTTATTGCCAAAGAAACTGCCATGTATACTTTCCACTTAAACCTCCAACTGGCATGTCTGGATGTCGATATAATCCTAAAAATCTTCCATTAAGGACACATGACGATTATCTACTTGATGCAGTAGCAGTAGAATGTGTAGATCGAAAATCATACAAGTGTGAAATGCAAGTATGAGGTATATTATAATTATTATTTAATAACTTTTTTTTTAACATACCATGCTAATTTATTTTACTTAATAGGCCTAAATAGCAAAAGTATATTATTTGAACTCAATTCAATTGAATTTCCTACATCATTCCCTGTTGATATCATGCATGGATTGTTTGAAAATGTTTCACCAGCAATGCTTCGGCATTGGTCTGATGCTTTTTTTAGAGACCATGAACTATCGAATTCTGATTATATCCTTTTCAATAGTGATTGAGTAAAAATATGAAAAATTATAGAAAATAATTGAAAAAACATGCCATTGAACTTTGGTCGTCCGCTTATTGATATCTAGCTACATTCAGCTGCATTTAAAGCAGAAGACTGGCTAAATTGGATGGTATTATATTCACTATCACTTTTACAAAGCCATCTTCCGGAAAGGTAATCTATTAACAAGTACAGTCGTCTCTTATTTATATCAATCTAGTAATGTTAATGAGGAAACATTAAACTTGATAAATATGAGGAAATTGTAATATATAGAAATTTATTCATTTTATAACTTAGGTTGATACTGATAGGGGTTAATATTAATAAGGGACGAATGTAATTAAATATTAATTTTTTAAGTTAAATTTTTAATATTAAATGTTTCAGATATTTAAATGGATGGGCTAAGTTCATATATATGACAAAGCTTTGTCTCAAGAAAAGTATCAACATAACGGAATTAGCAGAAATTGACAAACTTTTGTGTGAATTCATGACTCATTATAAGAAGTATGTTTTGATATGGGCTTGCTGCTAGAAAAAGGATAAATTAGCAAAAAAAAACTTATTGAAAAGCTGAATTGTATATTATGAATCCTACAATAAACTATAAGAAAATACAAATTTTAAAGATTATATTGCAAAATTTTAGTGAGAATTTATTTATTAGGTAAAAAATGCCTATAGGATAATTTTGAATTAGTTAAGCTCCAAAAAATTTTTTTTGAAAAAATTGTTAATTTGATCCTTTTTTTCAGCATCTAGCCTTATTTTTTCATAATATTAGTATTTTGTTACTAAATGTACCTAATTTAATTATTTTAACAGAGAATATCTTCAAAATGATTCAAAAAGGATTTCAGCTGCACTTATCTTCTATCATTATTTGTTACATATTGCTACTTCAATATATAGTACTGGACCTGCGTAGGCAACCTGGCAATATCCAATAGAGAGGCTATGTGGAATATTGTTACCTTTGGTGCACTCTAGACAGCATCCTTATACGAATCTTCAAAAGCAGATTACTACATGGATTCATTTTTTACACCTTCAATATAAAGCTGAAATAAATCAAAAACTTTTTGATTCAAGCTTGAAAATCTTAGACTGTTCTGAAGATCGTGTTTTTTTTACTGATAATGGACAAGAAAAATTATATTTTCTATCACATAAATACTATATGAATAAAGTTGAACTAAAACGTCTTAAAGCTTATTATATAACAGCATTAGGGATACATATGAACCAGCTTTTGGTATAATTTAATTACTTCTATCTTTATTATTTTATATTTACTAATATATTATTTAAAGTCTGTTACAAGTTCTGTTCGGAAATATGAAAAACTTTAAATGAAGAATGGGTTATTTGTTAACTCAAAGCTATCGAATTGAAAGGGAGATTTAGCATGCATAAATTATTATATCACTGTATGTAGATTACATTTTTTTGGTAAAATTCACTATATCGATATATTTTAATATATCAGCTATTTTAGACAAAGCTTATGGTTGATCAAAATGCTTATCATTGAAATGTACTGGTTATTTTAGAAGAAAAGGAGTTCTTTGGAGAAGTGCAATATTTTTTTTCACATCAATATGATAATTACTGATCTATGCTAGCGTATGTACAATAGGTGCAGAGTTCTCAAATTTCTGAACATGGACTATTGAAGTTTCGAGATTTTGGTGTATTTGAAGTAATTAATACTAGCACAATTTGTAGAAATGTTGGATTTTTTAGATTGCCTAATAATGAGTTTTACATTATTGATCAAGAAAATCAAGTTAAATTTCGATAGTTTAATAATTTATATATTTTATTATATAAATATAAGATCAGGAAAAAATCAGGAAGTAAAATTAAAATAATTCAAAATAAGTAATTTTTATCATTATATGCCAAAACTTTGATTTGGTAAATTAATAAGTCTATAAATACAATTGTCAAAAAAAGCACATTTACAAATACGTATGATGCCAAACTATAAGTATATATTTAAAATTATATATACAAAAGATTTAGCATTCTATTTTAATTCCATAAGTATTCCATTTTAATTCCATATCATTACTTTAATATTTAATTTTAATTTTATATTGTTCAGTTCTATAACTGTTTTATGCATTATGAAAAAAACACTAAAAAAAAACTGATTAACCAATTACTTGATCATGACTTTTAAGGCATATATGGAACTTTCACAGAGTCAAGATCAGAATTATAAAAATATAATGGAAATATTCCAGAATGCATTTTTTACAGGACTACTATTAGATGAACTAGTATGTGATCGTCTAATACCTTATTTTAAATAATCGCCATATGACTAAAAAGGAAATTCAAGACGCATTGGAACAGAAGGAAGGCCAAGTAATAATTATTTTTTTATTTATTTTGTTATTCCTTTTATTTTAATTTTTTATTTTAATTTTTTTTTATTTTTTTATTTATTTT